ATATAGAAAAAAAAGAGCAAAAATAGAAGATGCAAATATAAAAATATGAAAAACAACAGCGAAACACTGCAACAGTGCAAACAGTGCAAAACAGTAGCAATTGAGTTATTTACATTTATACAGGTAGTCTGTGGACGCTAGGGGGGTGGGGGGTCAGTGGGGGTTCTGGTCATTGTTCATGAGGCTGGTGGCAGACGGAAAGAAACTGTTCTTGTGGCGTGAGGTTTTGGTCCTGACGGACTGAAGCCTCTTGCCAGAGGGGAGTGTTTCAAAAAGTTTGTGACCAGGGCAGGGGATGGGGAGGGAGCCTTTAAGGTGGGCAGCTGTGATGAGGCTCCTGCTGTGATGGGGGAGGTGCAGGTGGTGGGTTGTGACTGGTCAGAGGTGTGATGAGGGATGGAGTCAGGACTGTCCTATTGTCTTTCAAATCTACAGTTGAACTCATTCAGGCTGCTGGCCAGACGCATGTCATTGGCAGCTTTGGGTGCTCTCAGCTTGTAGTCTGTTATCTGCCTGAGCACTTTTTACACAGGCAGTGTCACTGGCTGAGAACTGGTAATGGAGTTTCTCAGAGTACAGATGTTTTGCTCTTCTCACCTTCTTGCTAAACGTGTACTTCACCTCTCTGAAACCGTGTATCTCCACTCCTGAAAGCTGCCTCTTTGTTTGACTGGAGCTGTCAGAGTTTGCTGTGAACCAGGGTTTGTCGGTGTTATAACTCAGCCTGGTGCGTGTTGGTACACAGCTGTCCTCACAGAAGCTGATGTAGGATGTCACAGCACCTGTAAACTCATCCAGAGTTTTGGTAGTGTTCTAATTAGCTATGTTTCGAACTATTGTGTATTCTGAATCTGTATTTCTCCACTGAACCTATGATCACGTTTTGCACTTTTCTACTGAGCACAATGTACGTCCTTGAAGATAACATGGCCAGTGAGAACTGGTTCACATACTGGGAGACAGTGGAAACTCCTCTATTCTATCAGTTACTTTAGATGCACGCCTTTTGGACAGCACACACACATTTTGTATTTGATCCAAGCAGTTTCTATTTACATTTCAGTGAACTTCCACGTGAACAGTGGTTAGCCTGTTCACATCACACGAACTGGCCAATTAACCGGCTTAATGTGGTGTAACAGTGATCCAGAAAATTCTCCTCTCCGGTCGAACATTTAAATAATTGTCTGTATTTAAGGAGTTTGTGTGTGAGGTTGCCTTTGTTAAAGTCACCAAGCACAATAACAAAAGAGTCTGGGTAGGTCCGCTCCACACACAGAGAAAATAACCCCAAGTACACTTCTTTATTTGCTAAAGATAACTACAGTATTATGCCTTTATTTACAATGAGTTAAAACTAACTTCCTCTTTAATGCTTTTAGTTTGAAGAGATTACTTCCTGTTGTAACTGAGCGCGAGCGAGCTTAACGGCAAAAAAGACTGAAGGAAAAAGTTGACACGAGCGAAATCAGCGAGTAAAATGTGTTTCGTACTTAGTAGGCCCCTTGATCGAGGCACAATGTATGTTTTTGTGTAAAGAGCAATTTTGAATATTACATATAACTAAATCTGTACATTTGTTGAATTTTATTGCTAAAGCTAAGGTTAATTTAAGTTGCTGTAAACGTTAACGGTTGTAAGAGCGCGGCATTTAGCTTGCACATTGTTTTGTGTATCCCCTAGCTCTTAGGGTGAAATTAAGGGTTTACTGCCATTAAATCTGAACACTCAGTAAAGCGTCGTCCTTCATTGAGGGGCGCGACACAGAGTCTGGTCAGCGAGCGTGCGCTGTGCGTCCTGCGCATGAGCCGAGCAGAATGAATGAAGTGAACTCGGGGCGAATAAGAAGGTTTGCAGTTTATGATAGAAGATTCCAGATGACTTGCTCTTTGTTAATTCGCTTCATATTTGTCAGGTTTTACAGTGACCTTCTAGTTCCATCAGTTTCTCATGTGATTTATACAGTGTTTGATGCTAAATGTTTCTTCTTTTAAAACGCGACTCATTCATGTTGTTTCTTTCTGAACAATAACTGCAGCTGCACCGTCATTTCTGTCTGTGCAGCTAAAAATGAACGAAAACATTCATCAGTTAGCTCTTTCAGACCATCACAGTTCTACATACCTGTCCTGTGTAACATTATTTCAGGTTTCCAGATGATATCCAGCAGTCTGCGCTGACGATCGATCTCTTTTTCGTACTGGACGATGTTTTGTTCAAACTCTGCGAATATTTCTTCACCAGCAGCAGTTAGTCGCTCGTTGATCAACTCTCTCAGATTCTGAAATGAACTCATCGTTACTTCAGCTGGTGAAATACTCGTCTGAGGAACTGCAACACAGCTGTTCACACATCAGTGAAACTAACGCTGCTGGCGCCTTTTTAAATAGTTTACTTCTTCTTCTATTGATTTGGCGATTGGCCTCCAACCTTCAAATGCACTACCGCCACCTACCAGGCTGGAGTGTTGAACAAGCGGGACAGGAAATAAACAAACAAAAAACACTAAATCCCTGTTCGAAGTTCTGTGTTTTCAAGATACTCAATTAGATCGCTGAATATTCATTTTCCTGTTCCCCCAAGGAGGTTCTGCACTGTTAGTTCTAATTGGATTTTTTTGCAACTTTGCTTTGGGTTTTTTCCTTTCTTCTTCACAATGTCAGCTGTGATGCTTCTGGTTAAATACTTCCATGACATCTAGTGGAGAAGTGATCTTTGTGCAGAATCTGCTGTCGTCACATTATACAGTGATGATCTGCAACCAACTTTAAATGTCTTCCATTTAAAGCTTCAACATTAAAGACAGAAAACAGAAGGAAATGGTCCAAAGTCAAATCTTTTACCTGAGTTATTTCATCTCAAGTCTTCAGGAGCCTTCCGCTCGACCATCTCTGACTGGCTTGAAACTTTTTTATAATAATAAACTCTGGATATTTAAAACAGTATCTGGGAAATTTTAGATCAATATATCAGGTACAGCATGCTTGTTCAGGTTTAAATTAAAGGCTACGAGGTTACTTCAAAGAGTTCTTGGTCTCACCTAAAAGCAAGAGTCCTAACTCCCTTTTTGGGCCATAACTGTAAGCTATAAAGCCTTATATCACTGTCCACAAAAACTCAGACGTTTGCTGTTGCTCCAGGACAATGTGCTTTTTCTCACAGTAGAGGTGGAAGAAACGGCCAAATGTGGCTTTGAACTTATTGCCTCATGCATCTTACTCACCCAACCCGCACCGTCTGAGTGCTATCTGTTCCCAAATTGAAGTCCAACTTGCATGGTTGCCATTTTCAGAGTGTTGAAGAAGTCATCCATGCTGTCGAGGAGTATCTGAAGGCTCAAGATGTGACCTTCTTCCATGAGAGGATACAGAAGCCCGAACATCAGGAGACTATATGAAAAAAATACAACAACAATCTTTCTCCTGTGCTGTTTTCTGGTGAGGTTGGGACTTTTTGAAGTACCTTAGTATGTTTAGATGAGAATTTCAATCATGTTGAAAGAAGGAGCCTATCCCAGCTGACTCAAGGCAAAGGCAGGGGACACCCTGGACAGGTCCATCGAAGGGCTACACTTAGAGACAGACAACCAAGCACACTCACATTCACACCTATGAACAATTTAGAATCACCAATTAACCTCAACATGTTTCTGGACCTTGTGGGAGGAAGCCAGAGAACCTGGAGAGAACCCACACTGCACAGGGAGAACATGCAAACTCCACGCAGAAAGATAACCACAGCCCAAAAGACCATAGGTTGCCCTCTGCCCTCCCTGGAAGTGCTTGCTGACTCCCGCTGCCTCTCTAGGTCCAGGTCCATTCTCAAAGACTCCGCCCACCCAGCCCACCACCTGTTCAACCTGCTTTCCTCCGGCCAGCGGTTCAGGTCAATAAATGCCCGCACTACCAGACTTTCTAACAGCTTTTCCCCCTGGGCCATACGCTCACTAAACAAAAACAATATCCTTCTGTAGTCACTGGCCACCCACCACCCAAACACCCTCCTCCCCTTTCGTCTGCCATGATCAACTGTATCTCTGGAAATTGTTGCATCCTGGACACTGTTGCATTTGAGCACTTTATCACAAGGCACTTTACAGTCTGCTGCTGCTATGGTTGCTATGCTAATATACTTGTGTGCAGGAGAGCGTATTGTTTTGTCTGGGAGGGAGGGGGGTTAGCGTTTTGTGTGGGGGGGGTGTAGTGTATGGACTTGGGTGAGAGTGTATGAGTGAGAGAGGGTGGGCTACCCTTGGGCCTGGGTGAGAGGGTGTGAGAGAGAGTATGAAGGGGGTTTCTTCTGTCTTTTTATATATTTATTAATTTTTTTATTAGTCTCAAGCACTGACCAAGAGCGGCAACTCTAATTTCATTGTGTTTGATATAATGTATTTTATGCAATGACAAATAAAGCTTCTATTCTATTCTATTCCTGGTGTCCTCACTGGGACCCGAACCGGCGACCTTCTTGCTGCGAGGTAATGGTGCTAACCACCGAATATGGCTTTAATTTAAAAAAAAAGAAAAAAAAATTTTTTTTAACTTACACATATTTTTTGATTTGCTTATCCAATATTGCAGAGTCAATCAATGACATGATGAGAAATAACAGTGACAATTTCAATTTATTTTATCTTTAGGAGTTCCAGAGACATCTAAACATAGCCTCAAATTTCAATGTGTAAAAAAAAAAAAAAAAACGCTGAAAATGGGTCAGAGGGCAATTTAAAAAAAAAAAAAATCTTCACAAGTCAAAAAAATATCTTTATGAATATCCATATTTTATGCCATAAAACTTTCAGGCAAAGTAGTAATGATCTGGCAGAAATTGTTCTAAAAATTTAGTGATTTAAGATAAAATGACCCACATTGATGCCATTTGTAATTTATTGGCTGACAGCTGGAACAGGAACACATGGCTATCTTCAGGTGAGGTGTTTTGTTTTATTCATATTTGGTCCTTGATGCAGATTTGTACACGAACAGGAACGTAGCACAACATGGTAGTAAAAGCATTGCTCTGTTTATTTAAATGTGAAAGTGCAATAAAATCCTTTGAGTAATTCTGATAAACAGGCAAACTGTGATTTTGATAATGATGAGAAAGGATAAACTTGACCACAAACATGTACTCTGTCCTGCAATTGTTGCCACAACACAACTATTTTTTAAAAACATTTTAAATCAGCACTACAAAGCTCTGCATGAAGAGTACAAAACCAGATCTAAATGTCATCCAAAGCAAAAGCTATTCTGGATGGATGGCTTTGTTAGTGTCACACCATATGAGCAAGGCTCCAAACAGTTTGCACTCAAAGCAATCTTCACAGTGAGAAGCCATTCAGCAGTTTTTATTTATGTATTTATTTTCCAGGCAGATGTATTTTGCATACCTCTACAAAATCACCTCAATTATTGGAGATTTTAAAATTCTTTCCAGGCAGCGTTATCAAATCATGTAGAAATCGAGTATTTTTAATAACTGGGTAAATACACAGTGAGTGTAGCCTAACAGTTAATATGGCTTAATACAGGGCTGCTTTTGTTAATTGTACATGTGCTGTTTTAATTGTATTTACAGTATTTGTTGTGATGTCTTTATGGTTACGTGAATGGGTATTCGGCTCTGCCACAACCCAAAATAGAAGTTACACAAAAGGTCAAAACGTAAATTTCTCTTCTCTAACCAAAGCTCACACACATTTTCTGAACTGGCCTCAAAGGGAAAAGTACATGATGTTATATGTGTATGTTTTGCTTTAACTACTCTGCCAACCTCTACTATACAGAACTCTGAAATTCTTCAATCAAGCAGTTCAGGTGGTAATGTGGACTGTCGTTTTTATATTCAATTTTAAAGCATCAAATTCATAGTTTGGTGTATCTTTTTAGATTGATTTATGAGATTGTACTTTACATTAGTTCTATTTTCTTTAATTGAAGGTGATGCCCTGATTTTCAACGAGAATGATTCATGGGCATTAATTTACTAATCTGTTTGCACCTACACCTCATATTTCTAAATAATCGGGGCCAAACGTCCGATCAGACCAAGATCTTAGACTAGACTTCTCTTCCTATCGCTGTGCATCAGTTTAGGATGAATTTGAGCAGAGGGGTCTATGAAACCATTTTCAAAGTCTGGACAGATTCTATTCAGTAATTCAGTGACTTGTATTCGCTGCAGGAAAAAGCCAAAGACAATCGTTGCTCCCGCTCATGATGCAGAAAAGAAAAAAAGAAAAAAAAGAAATGAATACAACCAAAATGCAGTGCTACGGGGTGAAATTAGGTTGTGACGTTACAATTAAGCCAGGTCTGGGAAATACTGTAATCTGTCACAGCATGACAAGCAATATACTCACAGGATCGTTCCTGAAGCATACAAATGCTTTGAATCTGAAACATTTCTGCTAAACTCAACCAATTCTCACAAGGTGTTACAAACTAGGTTTTCCCAAAAATGTTTCAGACGGCGACTTCTTTGGCTGTACAAGTTCTCATGTAGCGCAACCAAATACTACTTTGCCCAAGAGTTTTCCAACATAATTTGCAGGATTACGGTCTCTCAACTGTGTGGCTTCTAATGTGTTTTCTAAGTGCTGATGGGTAACAAAATCTTTTTTCACACAAGGTACAGCTGTACGGCTTCTCACCTGTGTGAGATGTCATGTGGACTTTTAGGTAAGCACTATAATTGAAACCTTTTCCACATATTTCACAAGCATACGGCTTCTCATCTGTGTGGATTCTCATATGGTTTTTCAAACCATGACTTAAAGTAAAACTTTTTCCACATGTTTCACATGGATATGGCTTTTCACCTGTGTGAAGTCTCATGTGGATTTTCAAACTACGACTCAAAGTGAAATTTTTCCCGCATATTTCACATGGATACGGTTTTTCACCTGTGTGAGTTATCATGTGGAGTTTCAAACTACCACTTTGACTGAAACATGTCCCACAAGTTTCACAAGTATACGGCTTCTCACCTGTGTGGCTGAGATAATGTTTTTTTAAATAGCACATGAACTTAAAGGTTTTTCCGCAAATACCACATTTTACAGACTTTTTCCCTGTGTCAGTGTCACACTGACTCTCTGACACTGGAGAGTTGTCTACATTGTTACTGTGACTGCTGTTTCTCTTCTTTTGCTTCAACTTGACAGGAGAGTTGTGAGGGAAGAGCTGCTCACTGTTTAGTTCTGGTTCACTTTCCTCATAAGCAGGAGTGACAACAAAGGTATCAATCTCCTGCTTCAGAATAAGCTGCTCTCCCTCCTGACTGGTACAGACTTCATCCTGTTCCTCTTTAATCTGTGGAGGTTCTGGGTCCTCCTGACCCACACTGGTGTAGAGCTCCTCCTGTTCCTCTTTAATCTGCAGAGTCTCTGCGTCATCTTGGAAAACACTGGTGCAGAGTTCCTCCTGTTCCTCTTTAATCCATGACGGTTCTAAATCCTCATGGTCCAGATTGGAGTTCATTTTCTGATTGCAGAACTGCTGCTCAGTGAGAACCTCTTCCTCCATACAGACATATTGCCGTGGGAGCTCTAGAGTTACAAAGGGGCACAAAAAAGGTCAGCCATGCCTATCTAGAGCTGAAGACATACATGCAAATTTAAAACATAAGCAAGGTGTGAAAAAAGACAAAACATGACACCTGAGTTCTAGCACTCTTCCTAACAAAGACCAGAAAACAAAATATTGAAACAGCAGCTTTTTAGTTGGTACTGATTGTCACTGTTGTAGAGTAAAACGATCAAAAGCAGATCTAATCAGCTGTCATTATTTAATCCATCACATAACTTAAAGTAATGTCAGAACAAAGTGAACCTTTACTGGTGTCAGGTTTGTGTCTCTGTAATTTGGTGAAGAAACCAGCTTTGACAATGCCGTACAATCTGCAAAGATTGTTTTTGAGGCAGTACATGCATCACTCTGCAACACTGCTTTACAAAGAGTGGACTAAGTGTTGTTGTAGTTCCAACCAACCAAGTTAGACATCTCTCGTAAAACCAGAAGTCAGAGCATCATAGGTATAATTACATTCAGTTCATATAACCCTGTTTAGGAAAACAAGTTAATGATGCTGTGTAAAATGTGAATAAAAGCAGAATGAGGTGATTTGTAAATCATTTATGCCCTACATATATATGAAAACAGTACCAAAACATATTAAAAGCAAAATTGTACAGTTTTTTTTAGTGCTCATTTTGAATTTAATGCTAACAACACATGAGCAGCGACGACACGTGGGGTAAAGTTAACGCTACTCATTAGCATACTCTAAGTGCAACAAAAGTAAAAGTATTCATGTAAAACCAAACATTGACAGACATCAGTCCCAAACATTAGAAAATGAGAAGAAAACATCTGTCATTTTAAACTTAAATCAGATGAGAGTGGCTGATATCTGAACATATTCATTTTAAGCTTTTCAGTTTTTATCTGTATGGGAACAACAAAATGAACAAGAGGTTCCTTGCGCTGTTGGTGCTTGGACCCTAATAAAGACAAGTTGAGGCACACTAAAGCACAACACTGCTGTAGTCATTCAACAATTTAAGTAATTTTCCCTTGTGTCTTATACAGACTGCAGGTTTAACACTGAATGTTTACAGCTTAGAAAAGAAACGCAATAATGTTATTTATTACAGTATTTACACTACAGTCCTTCCAGTCGGCCAATAGTATTTATTAATCACAAAACTAAAATAGAGCACTGACTAGGATCATACATGAGTCATAGTTATTTGTTAGCTCATTAAGACCATTGAAGTTTTACATACCCATTGAGTGTAACTTCATTTCAGGTTTCCAGATGACGTCCAGCTGTCTGCGCTGTCGATCGATCTTTTCCTCATATTGGACAATAGTTTTTTCAAAGATTGTAAATATTTCTCCAGATAATTCTTCACATTTGGACTTACACTGAATCAGCATGAAGGCATGTATCTCCTGATTTTGTACAAGCTGCTGTTTGTCCAGACTGTCGCAGAGTTCCTCCTGTTCCTCTTTAATCTGTGGAGGCTCTGGATCCTCCTGGTCAACATTGGAGTTCCTCTCCTGGTTAAAGACTTTCTGCTCAGCGAGAACCTCCTCCTCCTTACAAACAAATGGTTGTGGGAGATCTGGGGTGACAAAGGTACACAAGAAAGAAAATAAATTACTAATGTGATGACAATAAAGCACACAGAAGTATCCACCTATCCATTTTTCTTCTGCATTTCAAGAATCAGGCTGTGGTGGCTAAGCAGGACATTCCAGATGTCCCTCTACCGGTAACATGTTCCAGATTCTCCTGGAGGATTCTGAGGCCTTCCCAGGCCAGATGAGATCTGTAATGCCCCCAGAGAGTTCTGCAGAAACCCCAGAGTCTCCTCCCTGTTGGATGTGCCCGTAAAACACGCAGCTGTTTAACTATTGTAATTTTAACTAGGGCTGAATGATTTAAGGAAAATATCTAATAACCTGGGCTGCAAGGTGGCGCAGTTGGTAGCACTGTTGCCTCGCAGCAAGAAGGTTCGCGTCCTGGTGGGGGCACCGGAATCTTTCTGCGTGGAGTTTGCATGTTCTCCCCGTGCAGCGTGGGTTCTCTCCGGGTTCTCCGGCTTCCTCCCACACAGTCCAAAAACATGTTGAGGTTGATTGGTGATTCTAAAATTGTCCGTAGGTGTGAATGTGAGTGTGCTTGGTTGTCTGTCTCTAAGTGTAAGCCTGCGATGGACTGGCGACCTGTCCAGGGTGTCCCCTGCCTTCGTCCTAAGTCAGCTGGGATAGGCTCCAGCCCCCCCGCGACCCTAGTGAGGATTAAGCGGTGTATAGAAAATGGATGGATGGATCTGATAACCTGTTGTCTGACAGATATTGTGATTAGATTTTCCAGCTTCAGTTCATTCTACACCCGTGTCACAGATTTAAAACATACAATGGAGCATTACCCCTTGAAAAACCATCAAAAGGGGGACTGTCACACAAAAGGAGTTTGAAACAATGCAGTAACAAATCACAAGGAACACAGTTCAGCATACGCATGGTGTGGCTACTATGTCATGAGACTAATGCGGTTTTTTCCACTTTATTGAGTTCAAGCATATTAAAATGTTCAGAGAGCATTTATGCTCACTGGTCAAGCGTTTGGGCTGCATACTTGTGCTGTCAGTTATGAAGGACTGTATTTCTGTATTTTATGTGTATAGGAATTTGAAAGTTTTTGTGTTCTTGTGCTCTTTTCTTTTGTATTGTGAAGGTTTTCAACCTGACTTTCAACCTGATTTTTCAACTTACCTAGCTGACTGGCAACCGTATGGATGTTTGAGAAAGTAAACAGAGAGAAAAGGAAAATTAATAAAGTTGTTGTCCGAGTTGATCCGTTCAACATGTAGTTGGCCAAGGCCTTTACAAGTTTAGCCAGACTTTAAATAAAATTCCCAGATAACTTGACAATACTGTTGTTCGACTGACATGAGCCAAGCCTCATTATTCATACACTCCAAGAGCTGCTAAACTGCCTATCGTTGATGTTCAACATTGACAAGAAGTATCTATTCCATTCTATTATTTAGTGGTCACACCTCAAACATGAAGCAGCACGTCTGACTCACTGTTTATACAGTATCGTGATTTTACAAATTCATGCTGTCCTGCTTGTGTATCAGTCACATTGTTGATGGTTTCTGATGTGTTAATTGTCTAGCACATATTTTAAATCTATTAAATGGTGAATACTGTACTGAGGCTTGATTTGTGGAAAGTACAGTACCAGTCAAAAGTTTGGAGACACCTTCTCATTCAACGGTTTTTATTTATTTTAATTATTTTCTACATTGTAGAATAATACTGAAGACATCAAAACAATGAAAGAACACAAGGAGTTATGTTGTAAACAGTGTTTTTTTTTTAGTATGTTTTCGATTTTCGATTCTTCAAAATAGCCCCCTTTTGCTTTGATGACAGCTTTGCCCACTCACTCTCTCCATCAGCTTCATGAGGTCGTAGCAGGAATGTATGTTGGTCACAGTGGAGGTGTTTTAATTTGCAGCTCAACTTGAACTTTTTCTATTTTCAGTGATCTTCTCGTTCAGCCAGGTTCTCCTGTGTGTTAAACAAACTGTGTGTTTGATGCTAAATATTTCTGCTTTTAAAACAAGATTCATTCATGTTGTTTCTGTCTGAACAATAACTGCGGCTGCACCGTCATTTCTGTCTGTGTAGCTAAAAATAAAAGTAACTCAGAGCTCTGATTAGGATCCTATGTGAGTCTTATTCATCAGTTAGTTTATCACAGTTCTACATACCTGTCGTGTGTATCTTTATCTGTGGTTTCCAGATGATATCCAGCAGTCTGCGCTGACGATCGATCTCTTCTTCGTACTGGACGATGGTTTTTTCAAACTCTGTGAATATTTCTTCAGCAGTAGCAGTTAGTCGCTCGTTGATCAACTCTCTCAGATTCTGAACTGAACTCATCGTTACATCAGCTGATGAAAAATTCATCTGAGACAACACAGCTGTTCACACATCAATGAAACTAAAGCTGCGGGAGGTTTCTTGTTACTTCCGCCGGGTGTCACACTGTGAAGTTTCGGCAGAAACAAGTGTTCCGCCTTGTTAATCATTTTCCATCTCTCTCTCATCACA